CAGGAAAGCCATGTGCCCTATTCCTCCAACTCATCTTTGCCATGTAGCTGAAATACAGGGACTAGGGTGCCCAGTAAGCAACCACCCCTCAGTATCAGGTATTGCAGCTGGAGCACCGATTGAAGGATGTTGTAGTAAGCATCCATTTGCCTAAGTCACTGCATCATAGTTCGGATGCTGGTAAGCTAACATAATTCCCTGTTCTCCTGTTATTTCCACTGTGAAAATTTTTAATTTTAGTATAATTTCAATTAAATAGAGTACTTTTGGAGAGCTAGCTTAATTCCTGCATTCACGTAAGACCATAATACAGAACTGTTACAAGAGAGCTATTCACTAATTTGTCCCACTGAGCATAACTCTCCTTTTCAACAGCTTTCTCTTGACTTTAAGTCAAATTAGAAATTCTAATTGCAAAATAAAGGCTGTGTTAAGGAGCCAGCATCAGAGCACGTGAACCATTTCTTTCCAACGTAGAAGAATTCCTACTAGGTGGTCTGTTTTATTCAAAACAGAGTTAAATCTTTGAACTATAGTAAAAAAAAATCATAGGACAGGTACCATTTTCACATCTTAACAGAATTTCTTTACTAGTGGAGTTAAAAATTAAATGCACAAATGAACAGCCACATAAGTTAACAACCTTTACAGCAACTTGGAAAGCTGCTAATTAAGCAGAATTGTATTATTCTGTCTCTTCCAACAGCGCATAATTAAGATTTGGAACTCCTTGGTACATAGCTCTGCAGATGCTAAAAGTTTACACAAGAGCAGAAAGCAACAAGACAAATTGTTGAAGAAAAGTCTTTCAAGCACTTCTAAACACAGTGAAGACCCAGGGCCAAAGCTTGCTGGAGGCTGGGAAAAGTGTCATGGGCGAAGTACTGCCACATGCTTGTACCATTTGCATGACTCCCTCCCAGCCATCCACTGTTGGAAGTTGTTAGGATACTAGGCTAGACAGATCTTCCACTTAAGCTAGCGTTGATGTAAAGGCATCCAAATACAAGTAAATACTCAATGGAGGTTTACATGTTTAAGATGTTTTGTTACTGTAGAACTCTAGATGTACATAAGAGTCAAGCACCTAAATCATATAGGAGATCTGTAAATGATAATATGCTATCTAAATAACACCTAGATCTGATCCTAAGCATGCCCAAATTAAGAGAAAGCACCACTGCAGAATTTCCATAAGGTTTGAACAACATGCATGAAGAGATTTTTTTTTTTCCCCTAAAAAGATATATGCCTCCTGTTCAGAAGGTATGAAGAAACAATTGACTACAAATCTAGCCTGGTGAGAAAATGAGGGGAACAAATGCCCGCTTCTCAGCATCATGTAGGATATAGAATGAGAGAATTGCACTAGAAAAATTCAGCGATTTAAAATAAAAACAATTACTGCACCTTATTACCAACACCATTCAAATTAACGAACCAAGTCAGAAATGAACCCTTCATACACACCTCTCCCCGAGTTCTTCCTAACACAGTCTATCTGGATCCCTTATATACGTATGATATGTTGACAAAGCAATCCAACAATACACTTCTCCCAAAATAATTCAGGAAAAAAAACCTTTAAAGCCATAAAGTATTTCTCAAACCAAATGCAAAACCAAGTAAGATCTAAACCTTCTGCAGCTATATAAAACGAAAGCCTCCTTCAGCATTACTGTATTGAAATAAGCTTATGATTATTCAATTAATTATTTTGCAGAATCAAACTTTCTTCACTTTACAGACAACATGAGTGTGAGGAGGAGATGTGATAGCATCCAGGAAAAAAAAAGAGCAGTCACCACACCTTGAAAAATAGCCAGCTTTGCTTCTTGGGTTTTGTTGGGGTTTGTTGGGACTTTTGGGGTTTTTTTTGGGGGGGGAGGGGGGTGTGTGTTTTGTTTTTTATAGAAGAAAAGAATTGCATTAACAACAAAGATTTTAAAACTAAACAATATAGCAAGCTTCCTAACAGTTACGTAACACATTCACTGAAGTACCATGATTCTACTTTCTCTTTTCCTTTCTCCTAACTTTAAACAATGTATTTTTCAGCCACAGTTTGAGTAGCTACCTTCCTAAAAGTAATTTTTTTTCCATTCTAATCTGTCCAGCTGGTTGAAAGAAGCCATACATTTCTTGTTCTCATCCTCAATCCAAATTAAAATAATTTTTGCGGAATAGCATTTTTATTTAATACAGAAAACAAAAAAGCGTTTCTGTACCTTTACATACAGATGGAGACAAAAGCTTCCCAATCCAAACAAAATAATAGATCCTAGCGCTTTTGCCATCTAAGCCATGCAAAGACACACTGAAATTACAAGCTGATCTCATAACTTTAGTGAGGTGTTGATGACTAAGCGCCTTTTTCCTCAAAACAGCTTTAACATAAAGGCTTAAATGAATTGACATCGTAAATATACTGTTTAATGCTCTTTTCCTAGACTAGTTTATCTATGTAATACTTAACATGAAACCACACTAGAGCGTATATTTTGCATACAGTAACCCTGTTTAATGTTGACAGTATTAAGCCAAATCTTTAGAAAGCACAAGCACATTTTTAATGGTCAAATTTGCTAATCTACCACAGTAAGGCTCTCCCTGCTCCTCCCAAGATGATTTCTAAATATTTCAGTTGCTTTTTCCACCTTGTAACATCCTAATTCATGTCCTAACAAAGATGTTGTTTACTGTCATCATTTGGAATAACAGCATTATTTTAATTCCTGTTAAAAGATACCCTGTTGTGTTGGGAAAAATGAAAAACCTAAGTTGTGCTGTGGTTTATGTGCACAACAACTACACAGTGTTGCACAGTATCTGTTCACAAGCACAATGTTTTATTTTTTAATTTCTACACTGATGAAGAATTGTCATGCTTTACCTGCGATTTCATCTCATAAAGCGTAGCATCCTCTGGAGTTAATTGAAGTGCTTCATCCCACTTGTGAATAGCCTCTCGGTACCTGCAGTTAAAACAATATTACAGTCTCACTATATTTAAAGACATTAGATAATTTCTATTTATATCCTGACATTGTCCTAAAAGTGCCATGGCATCTCATTAGTATTAATGATTTTTCTAACCACTTCCCTATAAGACATGCTGACCTGTTTTCAGGAACTGGCTATTTGTTCTTCTGACCAAATGGATGCTAAGTACTACTGTACAACTGACCTCAAGTGAATTTACAAGTCAACATAGGAAACGTATGGCAAAGCAATGGCTTAAAACTAGAAATCTTGAACTGAGTCCAATTCCCCTCATTGTCAAAATCATCCTTGGTCAGGCATAAAGAAACATAATCTGAACCCAACATGCCTTGCTACAGTCATGATTTAAATTTTCTTTTCAGCCTAAGAAAGCTGAAACATAGGAGTTGCCCACCGGCATTTCTGTACTGTAAGCTACTAAAGACATCTGAGTAACTTTGATATATAAACATAAGAAGGAAGTTGAAAGTAAACAGCTATACTGAAATCACTCAACTTTGGGAAGTTACAGCGTAGCTTCATAATATGTTGCCCTCCCCTGGAAAACTGAAGAAAACAGAAGAGTTGACCAAAACCAATAAAAAGTAGGCCTTTGCCTTGAACAAAGAGGTAAAACTTGGACAAATGCATACTAGGGTTTTGAGCCATACTGAAGAACTGTAACAGCATAATAAGATGCAATTACAGGGGTGCAGTCTTTCAGGCCTAAGGGTGGCCTCAGATTGACATTAACGAGTCTGTGGAGTGCCACAAGTTCTCTGAATCTGTTTCAAAATCCACCTTTGTTAAGGAACTGCGTAGGAACTCCTGTATTTATATTAATTTCACTGCAAAGGTATGAAAACAGTTACTCTTGATAGATACACACACTGCAATTTTAATATAGTAGAGATAAAACTAAAGTAATTTTCACACACACTTCACATG